GAATAAAACAGGCTCAGATAACTGCCCTGAAACATATTACAATGTGATGGATTTTGAGCAATTTAAGCTGCAGAATAGGACACTTTAAATATTTGTTTCAGAGAAAATGAAAAAAAAGGCAGGGAAAGGGAAAATCACATTCTCTTTCTAACCAAATGCATTTAATTTTCAAAAAAACAAGCGGAACGGTGAAATTACATAAAAAAAGACACATCAAGGAACAAAATCTTTTGGTGCCCCACCCCTGCACTGTTGTCATATTGATTATTACATAATACTTGGGGTAGATTTACAACAGTGTTCTTTTCTAAAGCGTGGACAAAAATGTAAAAGTGGAGGAATCAACAATGGAATATGCCTGCTGGTACCATTGGTTTTAGAAAAATGGAATAGTAGAAATTGGAAGTCAAAGCCTTCATTCTAAGGTACAGAGATAAAATGTACATTCTAAAGGGGCCATAAATTATACACTTGGCATTGGCAGACTACTGTGTGAGTGAGACGTTAAACAACATAGCACTTGTTAAAATCCTTCCAGATGACCCATCTAAGTATTGTTCGAATTCCCCTGTTGGACCCAGTAAAAATGTATGATAGTTAAATGGCATGGAAGGATACACTGATCTGTAGATAACTAGACACACAAAACCAAAGATGGCAGTCAGAGGCAGATTCTTAAGGAATACTAGTCTGTAGTTATAGGGAAAATAATTACTGTGATACTGTGGTGTATTTATGTATATGGGCATGAATAATTATTTAATCAACATTTACATTTAATCACAGCTTTAATGAATTGAAAAAAGAGGACTTAATTAATATTTTGGAAAATTAACATAATGAGGTAAGATGTAAGAATTCATTTTGATTTTATTTAAAAATAAATTATTTAACACCCTTATACCAGGTGTTTTATGTAGATTGTTAATAATACACACATGAATAAGTAATTTAAAATACAGTCACAGAATAAATAAAATACTGAAACACATCATAAAATCAAATCACATAAAATATAAAGAATAAAGTAGATTTAGAATTGACTGCTGTAGTAATCCAGTAATTAGCCGGCACATTGATAATCCAATCAAACACAATCAAAATATAAACTTGGAATTAAAAAAACTATATAAACCTACTTCTTAAATTGGATACAATTCCAATTACAAGTTTATGTCAAAGTTAACCAAATCAGTGAAAGAAATTATTTTTATTTCTCCCTTTAAGTAATTTACATAAAGTATAACAAATAGTATACAATATTCATAGGACACGTGTCACATCAAGGGTGTCTAATTCATAGTTGCACTCTAGAATATTGCTATTTAGTTTGAGTGTAGTGCATGTATGAATTGGCTACTTGGTAGAGGTGGTATGGCCAATTTGAATGTGGAGGATAGATGTCAGACAAGATTAATTTAAATTACAGTGCCTTGCAAAAGTATTCACCCCCTTGACTTTTTACCTATTTTGTTACATTACATCCTTAGGTTCAGTGTTTTATTAATCTGAATTTTCTGTGATGGATCAGAACACAATAGTCTAAATTGGTGAAGTGAAATGAGAAAAATCTATACATAAAACATTTTTTTTAGAAATAGAAAACAGAAAATTGGTATGTGTGGATGTATTCAGCCCCTTTGTTATAAAGCCCATAAAAAGCTCTGGTGAAACCAATTACCTTCAGAAGTCACATGATTAATGAAATTTAAGTGTCACATGATCTGTCATTACATATACACACCTTTTTTGAAAGTCCCCAGAGGCTGCAACACCTAAGCAAGAGGTACCACTAACCAAACACTGCCATGAAGACCAAGGAACTCTCCAAACAAGTAAGGGACAATGTTGTTGAGAAGTACAAGTCAGGGTTAGGTTATAAAAAAATATCCAAATCTTTGATGATCCACAGGAGCACCATCAAATCTATCATAACCAAATGGAAAGAACATGGCACAACAGCAAACCTGCCAAGAGATGGCCGCCCACCAAAACCAAAGGACCGGGCAAGGATGGCATTAATCAGAGAGGCAGCACAGAGGTAACCCTGGAGGAGCTTACAATAATTTATAGCAGAGTTTATAAGATTAAACTATATGCTTGCAATATCATTAAAATAGAATACCATACCCTCTTGAACATGTCAACATCTCTCAGTCATTATAATATGGAGCTACAGTGTCTCTGTCTCCAAATCTCTCCGCTGTCCCTTAACATTTAAAAGGTACACATATTTATATCTTAGATGTTAATTTTAGGATGTCCATTAACTTGGCAAAGATACAAGGCCATAACTAAAACATAAGTGCACACGTCATGGGAAATTCCCTGACTTAGGACAAGATGGCGTCTTAAAGTCTGAATACCTTATCTATTGTTTATACTAAAACGTAAGGGTACACACTTCATGGGAAATTCCCTGACTTGGGATAAGATGGCTTCCTAAAGTCTGATGACGTAGCATAGCCTTGAAGATGTTATTGCATTACGTGTTTTGTATTCAGCTAAGACAAATTAACAGTGGCAGTTTTCCTTGCAGGGAGAGGAGACAAACGGTCTCTCTCCACAGCGGCAGTGTGTATTCCAGGGAAAGAAGCGTGCCGTCCTTCCCCCTCAGCGGCAGAGTGTATTATTGGGAAAGGAGACAGTCGGTCTCTCTTCCTGTTGGGGATAAAATCAGCTATACACGGTAAGACTTGATGAATGCTGGTTGACCGACCCCCTCCCTACAGAATTCCGGGAACCAGTTAAGAAGACAGAGACGTTTTAAAAAAACAATTCCATTTTTATTTATACGCAAGTTATATTTATACATTTCTTTCATGGTGGTGGGGTATGAGCATAAGGGCTTGACAATTACATAAATTGTTTTTCACAAGTTATAAGCAGCTGTTTCTTGTTATATCCCATGTTATATAACGCATGCATATTTAAGAATAACCAGATGTTTACAAATACCAAAATCGTGGACAATTAACAAGAACATTTGGCACGTAGTAAGGTCTTCTCGTAAAAGAAATAATAATAACAATTTCTCTCCTGAGCATCAAAGATAAAAAAGGCAGTTATTTCAAGTCCAAATTAACCCTTATATGAACAGCTAGGATAGATAGTAAAATGGATATTCTTATCCTACCCTCCCCAGCGGCAGAGTGTTTTACAGGGAGCGGAGTGTGTCGTCCTTCCCACTCAGTGGCAGAGTGTATTATTGGGAGTGGAGACAACTGGTCTCACTCCCTTGCGGCCGAGTATGTTACCAGGGCCGGTGCAAAGAATTTTGGTTACACAGGGGAAGATGCATTTTTCCGCCCCCCCCCCAAAAACATATTCACCCATGTGCCTTTTAACCTCCCTTTTGTGTTTCTTATCCCGTCTTTTAAATATCTGACTCCCTTTAGTGTATTTTATCTCCTATTTTTGCCTTTGTGTGTCTCCTATCTCTCCTCTTTGTATGGCTCTTACATCCTCCCACAATTTGTGTCTTACTCCTCCAAGCCACTTTGTGTGACTCCTTTTCTCCCAGCCCCTTTGTGTCTTTTATTCTTCCCAGCTCCTTTGTGTGTCTCTTTCCTTCTCAAGCCCCGCTGTGTGTTTCTTTTACAGCCAGCCACTCTCCCTGTCCCTTAATGGTCCCCTCCCTTCTCTGACCCTTACTGTTCCTCTCCCCTCTCTCCTCCTTTCCCTGTTCCTCAGTGTTCCTTTCCCTTCCCCCCTCCTTTACCTGTCCCTTAGTGTTCCTTTCCCCTCCCCCCTCTGTTCCCTGTCACTTAGTGTTCCTCTCCCCCCCCCTCCTTTTCCTGTACCTTAGGGTTTCTCTCCCCTCCTCTCCCTGTCCCTTGGTGTGCCACCCACCCCCATAGTGGTCCCCTCCCCTTCCTGGTGTGCCTCCTACCGTTCTTGTAGTGTGGCTGAGCAGAGCTAATCCCGGTACAGTGAGCTTTTCCTGTCAGTCCTGCTAGGTACAGGAAACAGAAGTTCCTGTACCGCGGTACACTCCGCTTGGCCACGCTACATTCAGGGGTGTAGAAACACTGACAGTCACACACACTCAATGACAAACACACAGACATCTTTGACAGCCAGACTCACTTATCTGACACACTCATTCATTGACAGACACTCACACGCACACTGACAGACACACAAACACTGACAGACTCATTGACAAACACACACTGACACACACACACACACAAACTCACAGACACTGACAGACACACGTACTCACATGCACATACGCACATACTGACAGACACACTCACTCACACACACACACTGACAGACACTCACTCACACACATACACTGACAGAACCACACACACACACATATTCACATGCACACACACACACACACACTGACAGACACACATACTCACATGCACACACACACACACACACACACACAAACTCACAGACACACATACTCACACACTCACACTCACAGTAATTAATAATCTAAATTAAATAAAAAATTCCCACCCAGCCTCCCTACCTGGAGAGCTGGCGTGGGTCTCTCATTGGTGGTCCAGTGGGGCTGCTGGGAGGCGTGCGGCTGAATTGGATGCCGAGGTGGCGAGGGAGCTCTGATCTCTCTGATCTGCTCCCTCGCAGGCTGTTTACTGATGCCACGGGAGCCGAAATATGACGTCATCAGTAAACAGCCTGCAAGGGAGCAGATCAGAGAGATCAGAGCTCCCTCGCCACCTCGGCATCCAATTCAGTCGCATGCCACGGCGGGGATCCAGAAGGTGACCTGGCAGGAGGGAGCACATCCCTCCTGCGGGTCACTGGAATTTTGCGCCCCAAGAGCCGGTGCACCCTAAGGAGGCCGCCTGTGCCGCCTTATGGACGCGCCGGCCCTGTATGTTACAGGGAGTGGAGACAATCGATCTCTCTCCCCAGCAGCAGACAGAGTCACTGGGAGAGGAGAGCAGCATCCTCCCTCCCCAGCGGCAGGGTGGGTTACAGGGAGTGGAGACAGTTGGTCTCCCTCCCCAGCGGCAGTGTATTCTACAGGGAGTGGAGACAATCAGTCTCACCCCCCAGCAGCAGTGTACTTTGCAGCAGACAGAGTCACAGTGAAAGGAGAGCATCGTCCTCAGGGTCACTGTGAGAGGAGAGCAGCATCCTCCCTCCCCAGCGGCAGGGTGAGTTACAGGGAGTGGAGACAGTCGGTCTCCCTCCCCAGCGGCAGTGTATCCTACAGGGAGTGGAGACAATCAGTCTCACTCCCCAGCAGCAGTGTACTGTGCAGCAGACAGAGTCACAGTGAAAGGAGAGCATCGTCCTCAGGGCAGGGTGAGTTTCAGGGAGAGGAGACAACCGGTCTCTTTCCCCAGCGGCAGTGCATCCTACAGGGAGAGGAGACAGTCAGTCTCACTCCCCAGCAGCAGCATGAGTTTCAGGGAGAGGAGACGGTCGGTCTCACTTTCCAGTGGCAGTGGGCAACACAGGGAGAGGAGATGGTCGGTCTCTCTTCCCAGCAGCAGCAGGAGTTACTGGGAGTGGAGGCGGTCGGTCTCACTCCCCAGCAGCAGTGTGAGTTTCAGGTGGAGGAGACAACCGGTCTCCCTTCCCAGTGGCAGTGTCCATCACAGGGAGCGGAGGGTGTCGTCCTTCCTCCCCAGCGGCTGAGCAAGCTACTGGGAGTGGGGACAGTCGGTCCTACTCTCCAGCGTCAGTATACCTTGCAGGGAGAAGAGGCAGCCGGCCTCTCTCCCCAGTGGCAGGGTATCCTACAGGGAGTAGAGACAACCAGTCTCACTCCCCAGCAGCAGAGTGAGCTACCAGAAGTGGGGACAGTTAGTCTGCCTCCCCAGCTACAACAACCCTGACCCCAATAGTACAGGTGGAGCCGCAGTCTCTGTACTGGATCTACAGGGATGCTGGATGGCTGATCCAGATCCCCAACCCACCCCAGCAGAAGGGCTGGCATCAGAGCAGAGCTCTGTTAGCCTCTGCCCTCCCCTGGTCCTTGATCCGGGAACTAACAACTTTCCCCACCACACAGCTGTGACGCTGGCAATGGGACAGAGATGGACTATAGGAGTCACCAAGTCCAGCGATTGTTTGTTGTGGGTGGGCTGCCAGAATAACACAGGTAATGCATCCTACAGGGAGAGGAGATGGTCGGTCTCACTCCCCAGTAGCAGCATGAGTTTCAGGGAGAGGAGACAGTCAGTCTCACTTCCCAGTGGCAGTGGGCAACACAGGGAGAGGAGACAGTCGGTCTCTCTTCCCAGCGGAAGCTGAAGTTACCGGGAGTGGAGGCGGTCGTTCTCACTCCCCAGCGGCAGCGTGAGTTTCAGGGAGAGGAGACAACCGGTCTCCCTCCCCAGCGGCAGTGTGCATCACAGGGAGTGGAGGGTGTCGTCCTTCCTCCCTAGCGGCTGAGCGAGCTACTGGGAGTGGGGACAGTCAGTCCTACTCTCCAGTGGCAGTATACCTTGCAGGGAGAAGAGGCGGCTGGCCTCTCTCCCTAGTGGCAGGGTATCCTACAGGGATTGGAGGCAACAGCAAAGTGAGCTACCAGAAGTGGGGACAGTTGGTCCGCCTCCCCAGCTACTGGGGAACAAGAACCCTGACCCCAATAGTACAGATGGGACCGCGGTCACTGTACTGGATCTACAGTGATGCTGGACGCCTGATCCAGATCCCCAACCCACCCCAGCAGAAGGGCTGGCATCAGGGCAGAGCTCTGTTAGCCTCAGCCCACCCATGGTACTTGATTCATGAACTAACAACTTTCCCCACCACGCAGCTGTTACGCTGGCTATGGCACAGAGACGGACTACAGGAGTCACCAGGTCCAGCGACTGTTTGTTGTGGGTGGGCTGCCAGACTAACACAGGTACCAACTGGCAAGAAGCCAGGTACCTGGTTAGTCTTCCCTTGGCGGGTATGTTAGGTTTTGGGGTGTTTTCTAGACTTTGTATAAATGTGTGTTTTTTTCAGCTGTGGATAATTAGGTTATTGCATTAACTACTCTAATTATATCACAGGTAGAGGGGAGGGATTGTTTGCTGTACCATTGTTTTCATTGGTTTGTACATCTTGTAATTTGGTGCTTCATCAGGTCCAGGGGGTGTTCCCCTGGCCTGAGAAATTGTATAAAAGCCAACCTGAACCATTAAAGCTGAGATTCTGCTTACACTCCAAAACTGTGTGTCGTCCAGTTATTGAGGTTTGTCTCCTGTTCCAGCTAGGAAGCGGTCCTTTGGCGGAGGTACCCAGCCAGGGTACAGGGAGCTCCACTCTTTGATAGATTCTGATAGTAATTGTAATCCATATTGTAATTGTAATTGTAATCCAAAGTCTTAAAGGCCTGTAGAAGATTACATTCCTTAGATACATTTCTGGAGGTTAAATTTGTAGAATACCTGGGTATTTGTTGTAGAGTATAGGTTGTAAAGCTATCCAAGTATTTTGTTAGAATTTGTTGCAGATATTTTATCAGAATCATCTGTTATCACTGTGGTGATGGTCTTGTTATTTCTCTTTGTCTTTTGGCTTGTTTTTTTTGTTTTTGTTTTTTTCATAAAACATTTTCACACAGTTTATGATGTTTATAGATTGGATACTCTCCGATATTCTTTTACGGAATATATTAATTGATAGCATTTCCAAGACATTGTTTTAAGTGACATGGATCCCATTATAGTAAATGTTATCTTGATACAGCAATCGAACGCCTCTTTTTGCTGGTATTGGAATCTTGGTAACACCTCTACATCTCACTGATACACATAAGACGACATCAGGTGCTGTTGTGCTAGAGATGTTAACAGGTAAAATCTGTGGAAAAATCTTTATATTTGTTAAACTTTGTATAATAATAATTGATGAAATCGTAACAGTTAATCTTTCTAGTGTTTTGTTTTAGATCATTGTATATGATTTAGATATATAAGGATAATTTGGAGCAGCAAAGTATTTACCACTTTTGTTCACAATGGTATGTAAAATTCCATTTTCTTAAAATGTTAAAAAATACTCTTTTATTCAAAATCTCTCAACCTCTCAATCTAGTTAGAATAGTTGATAATTGGAAACATGACATTTATTCATCTTTTTTTTTTTGTCCTGTTAGTGAGAAGACAATTTATTCTTAAGTTGCAATTAGTAAACATAATAACTACAGTTATTAGTTGCTTAAAAAAACAGAAACCCCCCAAAATTGACTTAAAAACATTTTTACCAAGATCTGACAGCCATTGTGGAAAGTCACGTTCATGAGATTGGATGCTTAACAATGAGAATCTTATTTATTTAAGTATATTTTCTAGTGGCTGTTGGGTGGAGCTTAAGGTGATTTGAATTTTTTTTATTATTTCTTAAAAGTGAGTTAAGAAAGCACTCAGATACAATATTGAAGGTATTTATATTTTAACTCTACCTTTGTAAATGTGGTTTTAACACATTTTTTAATTAATTATAGATATTAGAATCTGTTGTAACAATAACTGGTTGAAGTGAGGTATGTTACAATCAGAATATGAATTAATAATCATATGTATGATGTATTGATTAAACAATCAATAGATGTGGCAGGATCATTACCACAAGGTATATGTACCTTTAATCATCACAAACCAAATAACATTTTCTTGGTATTTGAAAAACAGATAAATCAAATATTTGATCACGTGTGTTTTAATATATATACATATAGTGCTATGGATGTTGAATTTGTATCTTTGACATCTTTTCACCTGTTTTCAATAGGTGACCTAAGTTATCAATTTCCAGGTATTGTCATGTATATCACCCATAATACTCTTAAAAAAGGTTTTGTAATAAGTGAAGTAAAGTTTCTGCCTGTCGTTCAGTTAAATTTTAACTGTTGTAGTACTTCACTTATATTTATTAGATTATATTAATCATACCACTCTGCAAACTTAAATGTATACTGAGAAGTTCCTGATTTAATAAAAACATTTTACATTTTCTTCTAAGGTTAAAACATTGTTCATTGTTGCACTTGTTATTGTAAGCATATGATCTTTAGATATCATGATTCAATTATGTACAGATACATTGTTAAAATCAGATAATCTGGTCACTGCTTGGATTTAATCTACAAGTAAATGTTCAGTAGATATAAAGGAATCTGCATTGTTTAGCTATTTCCTTTTGCTGCAAGACAAAGTCATTAATGTAAATTAATCTGGATATCAGCTGGTATGCTCTTATACTTTATGTCTAATATATTTGTTTGTAGGCCAGACCCCAGCTTCACATGGCATTTTAACAATATTTTTCATTTATATTTCAGATATTCACAAAGTCTATCCACCTTTGTAATTAATACATTGTGTGTTTTTTTATACCATTAATTATAGTATCTGTATTATATTACATATTGTCACTGACACATTTCTGATACAGGGGAAAAAATAGCATGATTGCTTTAGTAATGATAATTTTTCTGTCCATGCAAACTATATCCAGGTCCAGAATATAGCAAGAACACGTTGTCTATGGTTCTATGGAGCCATTTAACTTTGATTGGTATAGTTATACCAAAGGAGCAAGGAGTGCATCGGTAGATCACATCTGCAATAGAATCATTACAGATTCCTTGTTGTATCAATGTCTCTGTGTTTATGTTTACAGGAGTTCCTTGCTTTGCAGGTATGTACATAATATGTAGAGTTTAAGAAAAGCTGCAAATCGTGCTTTAGTACAAGTTACCTCTGACGTCAAGTTTCTGAAAGGTTTTGCTGGCCTTTTACATTCCATTCTGTTGGCAGGACTTCTGCTCTTAGTAGGCCTGTCTTGTTATTAATTTGTAATTGCATCAAGGTTTCTTTCGTTAATTGATGTGTTTCTTCCGAATTCAAATTCACATGCCACAAAATGTAATTGTAAAGTTCATTATTACAGAATATTGTTCCAGTATGATTTCTCACTCCAGTAGGATATCTGTATTCTTCTTCTTCTGCTTCTTCCTATTAACCACATTTTCTGAGTTGTAGGTAACAATCTATGTCTTGTACTGTCAGGTGCTTTGATAGTCAATCAGGTATTCTCAGTACTATGGTTCATCTTGAGAAAATAGCTGGGTGTTGACAGTTATCACCCTTTATTTCTTTTTCCGGTCATCTTCTGTCTGGAAACATAATCACAATGTCCAGAATTAGCATAGCACTTCTTTTCAGCATAAGAAGGGTGTTTGCGGTAGTCATTCAATGATAAACTATATGGCAAAGTCGTTTCTTGCATCACCTTCATAGGTGCATCCAAAGTCTTTCATCTGCTCCAGCATGCTTTGACATCATTGTTGAGTCCATTATTAGGATTTAAAATAGTCCAATCATATCTTTCTCATGTATAATCTGTATTTTGAATGATCTTCAATAGGTTCCCTGTGAAATACCAGTGCAGGCCACATTAGCAATCATTTCACTGTGAGCTATGTCTCTTCTTTTGAGATGGTTCTTGGAGGTTGTCCTCACGATCATAGAAATTGTATTATGTGTAGTCCAATTCAGTCCAGGTGCTTCTTGCTTGTTAACATAATCCCAATGTGGGACGAAGTGCCCTTCGCCACTTGTGCCTGGAGAGGACTAATTGCCAGCCTTATGACTATGGCCCCTCGGGGATATATTGCCTGTTAAAAACT